TATATATATTATATATATATATATATATATATATATATATATATATATATATATTATATATCTATTAAGTGCCGCCCGGGGCGGACCGTCCCCATCCGCACCCCCTTTCCTACGCCAGTGACTGTTCCCAGTGCTGAATCATCTTATTGTTTTGGTGCACTTTTCTATGACAGACTTGGATTTGCAGTGTATCCATACGTGAGTGATTTGACATAAGACATTACTTTATGAAAAGAACGTTGATAAAGCAAGCTTCATATATTAATATCTTTTTAGTCGCACTAAGTTTTAATAAGAGAGTTACCAATGTAATGGATCAAGGGGGATTACTTTGCCTTAATAATTTTTTGCGGTTGTTAAAATTACGATTATCTACCGTTCCAAAACCAATTAATTCAAAAGAAGTTAAATATCCTGTAACATTTTATTGTTGTGCTTTGATTGAAAAAAAAAAAAAGAAAAAAATTATTCGCGTTGTCAATTCATTACAACTTATAAAATGTTGGATTGAAAGTACTGTGTCATAAATCATAAACACACCGGTTTAAAAATAACACAATCTATAACAGTAAATAGTAGTAGTAGGCTTAGGCTTAGTTAAATAATTCTCCACCCATCCTCCCCCATCTCGCAAGTCTTCGTCATATTTTGCAGCTTCACTTATTTAATTAATGTTACCATTTTTTTTTTGCTACTCGACTGCCACGCCGCAATTTTGTCTATTTTAGGACTTGTAGTTTAAAGTAGATAAAGTCTACAATTGTTTACTCTAATTCTTAAATTCGGCTCCCATCCCCAGCCCCCAACTTCTTCAAACAAAAATATTATATTCAATACTAATAAAATTAAATTCAAGAGACGAAAATAACAGCACAGATTTAATCAATTTTTACCAACTATAAATATGTGACAGTTCACGCTTTAAGGTTTCTTTTTAGTCACAGAAAAAAAAACCCGACCCTATTAATATTTAAAGTTGGGAAGGCGCTACGCTCTCTCCCCCACACGCGAGCCGACTCCACCCCTCCACGAGAGCGGCGCGAGGAACTGTGACCAATGAGAAGCGCCGATACACACCAACAACAGAAATAAGACGGGAGGAATAAAAAAAAAGAAAAGAAAGAAAAGTTAGTGATACGAGGCCCGAACGGTTTTCGCCCTGTTTGGCACGGTCTCCGTGTGAATACCGGTGCACCAGCAGACGGATATTTTCTCTTGTGTTGGGAGCAGGTTTAGAAAGTTTTTTTGTGTGTGTAACTGTAACACTCATGGATAGTGTGTTATTGTGATTTTATTTGAGGAGATTTAGCTGTACTTTAATGTAAGTATGAATTTTAAATATAACAAAGGTTCAATTTATTAATTATAATTAATGTACCCTTTTTATTTCTTTTTAGTTTTATAGAAACTTTTTAAATTTAATTACTTAAAATTAAGTTAAGTCTTAAGTTTAAGTTATGTTGTTAAGATAAACTTTTTACAGTTTTTACTTTATTGATAAATGCGTGGAATGTGGAGGTGAGATAGGGACGATGCATTTTTAGATTAGAATTAGATTGTTAGGCATGTTAGTGTTGAATTAGAACATTTTAAAATATTAGTCGGAAATGAGAACTGAAAGTAATGTGTAATTTTTTTTAATAAAGTAGGTCAATAACCTATGATAGTTTATAGAAAAATATGGCTTTTTTTTTGGTTGGGGGGGGGGGGTGCGCACTCTGGCAGTGGAGTTACTAAGTTACTGTCAGGGTTAAATTACCAGTTCTTAGTTGGCGTCAGAATCTGATTGTTGGAACTTGATTTTTTTCTCGAACAAATGACAAATAAATATTACCTATATCATACTGACTTAGCACAATGTAGTTTAGTAGTAGATGTAGAATTCTTTTAATTTTAAGTTAATCTTAGAACTTAGTTTCCATCCATCGGTGACATTGGTTTAATTGATATACTACACCAGTCTCAAATGAAGCTAATTTTGTGGTGCATTTTATTCTTACCCAAGTGTCTGACCATTGCTTGGAGAAAGCAATACTTAAACGATAGAGTTATGGGTGTCCAAACACAATACATAAGATGTTTAGAAGCATTGGCGTGCTTTCAGTAAACCTATGGATTGCAAATATCGGGCCTACGCCTAATATAACTGCAATACATGTCATAAAAAAGTGTAGACAATCAATGTAGACCTAAAAAAATAATAAGGAAATATTATTATAATAGCGGTAGTTGATGTGCACGTGCAATAATAATATGTAACATATGGGATAATGCAAGTTACCTGTACCGTTAATTGCGTGATGTGTAGGCTACTGTAGGTTTGTTCTATGATGTAATGGCAATGGAAAGCTGTACACACTTACACAGAAAATGTAAAACAATTTAATTTAAAAAAAAAAAAATTAAAATAGAAGAAATCAAACAATGTGTAAAAATGACATTATGCATAGTTCTCCCCCAAGGCGAGAATAAAGTTCTTGAAAATATCATTTGGGGAAGAACTATGCATGTCATTTTTACACATTACATTGTTTGATTTCTTCTATTTTAATTTTTTTTAAAAATTAAATTATTTTAAATTTTCTATTTTTTAAAATTGTCTTGTGTTGTTTGTTCTATTGTATATGTGCTGGAATGAATATGTACGACGGCGTAAAAACAATATAAGAATAATTATTGTTTAAATAGCCCTTCAAACCGAAACAGCTGGATTTTTTCTTGGCCGACGCTCAAGTGGTAAATTACCAAGATTTAGTTAGATCTATCCAATGGTGGACTGCCCGCATAAATGCGACACTATGTTTAAGTGCAAGCATCTGTGTTGTTGACACACGTATTTAAATGTTACACAGTAACAAGAGCATCTGTGTTGTTGACACACGTATTTAAATGCGTCACGGTAACACATGCATCTGTGTGGTTGAAACTTTTATATACACAGTAACACATGCATCGCTGTTGTTGACACACGTATTTAAATGTGTCAGGGTAACACATGCATCTGTGTTGTTGACACACGCCCCATTACACTAGAGAGATTAAGAACGCCACCCGAGAGGTTAGCGAGTGCATCAGATATTCCTCGGATTAAAGGTCTCGTGTTTGTACTGTGGTAACCTTTACTGTAAG